CTTGGGGCTGTTTTTGGAGTGTTCACCATCGGTTTCAGTAAGAAAATTGGAAGTTAGCCAAATCTCACTGTTAAAAAGTAACTTTTTCATAGAAATGCGTCAATAAAGTAACTTCGTTATTTTTTGATGTATGGCTGTAGAAATTGGCGGATGCAGAAGTTTTTAAAAAATATATGTAGAATGAATTTTATATAAAGTAGAANGTTACTAAGAGTATCAATTTTACTATCGCACATACATATGCCAGCGCAACTTCCAATGTGTACGGTTGCGAGGCCGTAATTAAACAATAGAGCTATACTTTTTGTTTGGAGTTCGAGAGAGGATTTCATATTCCACGCTTATATGCACATAAGAACATAATTATTTAGCAATGCATACATTAAGGAATACATGCATGTGATTCGCATTCGCTTTTCATTGAATTATTTTTTACAAATACATATAATTTTAGATAGGCATCTAGGCTTTCCAATTGAGAGTGAAGTTGTATCTTCTTAGATGGTTTGGTAGTTTCTTTTTGATTTTTTGTTGTTGTTGGATTCACATTTTCGTTATACATACGTACATAGATACTAGGGATGTTGCGGATGTGGAATTTTAGACGATGCGAATGCGGATGTCAAGTATTTTTAAAAAACAATTAGAATCTAGCATAATGGCGAGATCGTTGTTTAAACAGCGCTTACAAGCCAAACCAGATACATATGTAACGTTGTTTCAGAATTTGGAAAACCTGTAACTTTATAGCATGTCCCCACCAGAGCTTAACAACGTAGTTATGGCTATTGAGTTGGTTATCCCGATAACCCACTTGATTTAGCGTAGTTTCGCCATATAAAAATGACAACACTTAACCATTTTACTGAGATGGTTAAAAGCTAACCAACTCGAAACCACGGCGAAAGTCTGATACAACCCTGTGTTTTCCCACCATCTGTGGGTCATTAGCGTTAAAATTTAAAAAAATTCGTTCCCTACTAGTGTTTGGAGTTTACTAAGATCAGATAAGATTTACTCCGGTTTTTGAAAAACATTTGAAATCTACTCCTATACTCCGCTTGACTTCAAATCTATTCCGTTTTTTTTCATTCATGTTATGCCCCTCTTGGGGCTGTTTTTGGAGTGTTCACCATCGGTTTCAGTAAGAAAATTGGAAGTTAGCCAAATCTCACTGTTAAAAAGTAACTTTTTCATAGAAATGCGTCAATAAAGTAACTTCGTTATTTTTTGATGTATGGCTGTAGAAATTGGCGGATGCAGAAGTTTTTAAAAAATATATGTAGAATGAATTTTATATAAAGTAGAAAAGGTTTAGATCCTCTTGCTCTTTAAAAAGTTAAGTGTTAGATACGTTCTACTTTATAGAAAATGCTAAGAATTACCTAAATATGTAACATATTATCCTTACTTTGCTCGCGCTCTTATTTTTGCACGAATAGAAAATATTTAAGTCAAACAATTAATGTCAAAAACGAAAATAAAAAATTAAATCTAGTACGGAAAATTTGTATTTGCTCCGATTTTTGCAGCGATTTAGTCCTGAATCGAGCTTTGGAGGTCCGAACACAGTTCTCTACATTTGAACTGTTTTCTAAACCTCAAACCGCAGTGTGGACAGCAATAGTTAGTGATGTGGTTAAGTTCGATTTGAGGTGGTTAGCTTTTTGGTGGGGACATGGTATTAGAGCACTTTTCGATTTTAGATTTGTAATTCATTTTTAATACTTTCTTCTGATACTGCTTTGAAAAATTTGTGCTTATAGCGCGCTTAATAGATGGATATTGAAAATAGATTATTATTTTATTTTTGAACAAAGTTCTGTTTTCAAAGTCGTGGCTGCCAGCCGAATCGGATCAGCATATTGTTATTTTTTTTTTAAAGCACCCCGTTTTTTATAATCATTTGAATAACAGATAGTTACGGAGTTCTTATCTAATTCAAGGTCAGACCTATAGCTTTTTAATTATTTGAGCATCGATTTTCTTTATAGCTAGACGTTGATCATTTCTACTGGAAATCCCTATTGAAGCAGCTTACTCATTGACTTTAAATAGCAAAGAAAGGACAGTTTTACCCAAGGCGAATTCATATAAGGTGGTATCGATTCAACAAANCATTTGAAATCTACTCCTATACTCCGCTTGACTTCAAATCTATTCCGTTTTTTTTCATTCATGTTATGCCCCTCTTGGGGCTGTTTTTGGAGTGTTCACCATCGGTTTCAGTAAGAAAATTGGAAGTTAGCCAAATCTCACTGTTAAAAAGTAACTTTTTCATAGAAATGCGTCAATAAAGTAACTTCGTTATTTTTTGATGTATGGCTGTAGAAATTGGCGGATGCAGAAGTTTTTAAAAAATATATGTAGAATGAATTTTATATAAAGTAGAAAAGGTTTAGATCCTCTTGCTCTTTAAAAAGTTAAGTGTTAGATACGTTCTACTTTATAGAAAATGCTAAGAATTACCTAAATATGTAACATATTATCCTTACTTTGCTCGCGCTCTTATTTTTGCACGAATAGAAAATATTTAAGTCAAACAATTAATGTCAAAAACGAAAATAAAAAATTAAATCTAGTACGGAAAATTTGTATTTGCTCCGATTTTTGCAGCGATTTAGTCCTGAATCGAGCTTTGGAGGTCCGAACACAGTTCTCTACATTTGAACTGTTTTCTAAACCTCAAACCGCAGTGTGGACAGCAATAGTTAGTGATGTGGTTAAGTTCGATTTGAGGTGGTTAGCTTTTTGGTGGGGTCATGGTATTAGAGCACTTTTCGATTTTAGATTTGTAATTCATTTTTAATACTTTCTTCTGATACTGCTTTGAAAAATTTGTGCTTATAGCGCGCTTAATAGATGGATATTGAAAATAGATTATTATTTTATTTTTGAACAAAGTTCTGTTTTCAAAGTCGTGGCTGCCAGCCGAATCGGATCAGCATATTGTTATTTTTTTTTTAAAGCACCCCGTTTTTTATAATCATTTGAATAACAGATAGTTACGGAGTTCTTATCTAATTCAAGGTCAGACCTATAGCTTTTTAATTATTTGAGCATCGATTTTCTTTATAGCTAGACGTTGATCATTTCTACTGGAAATCCCTATTGAAGCAGCTTACTCATTGACTTTAAATAGCAAAGAAAGGACAGTTTTACCCAAGGCGAATTCATATAAGGTGGTATCGATTCAACAAATACAACAATTCCCTGTATTGTGTTTTTGCTTTTAGCTGGTGATTGTCAAATTTCAGCTGTTCTTCTCCGAATGAAAAAGGGCGACAGAAAATGCAAACACTCTCACGTTTTCACTCACTCACTAGCAAAATATATAATTTTGACAAGCAAACGCTACACACAGCTGATTAAACAACACCACCTTATATAAATTCGCCTTGGTTTTACCATAGAAGTTTTTAGACAAGGATCCAATGTATATCCCTATGAAAAAAATATTATCCAACAAGTAAAGCAAACTACTGGTTTTAAAATTTTTGCTAAAAATAAATTCCCCAAAGAGCCCTATTTGAAATTATTCAAAGGAATAAATGTAATAGGTGGCATACGCGGTACGTTTGTCTCGCGAATCACTTGTGTACGTGTTGACTCGCCTTCTACTACACACAGTTGAATCATTCAGAGTCATGCCGGGAGTCATGTTGGTGTAACTAACACATATTCATTTTCACAAACACATCCAAACCGACTCACGAGTCAGACGCACCGTGTATGCCGCCAATAACATCAAAAGCAAATCACGAAAATTTTGTTAAGAATTACAGTGCACACTTTCTTCTTTTGTG